TTTGCACACAAAACAACAAACCTTAGAGGGAACATTGGTCTTATATAGTGCGGTACCCCAGCCTAGGGCTGGGCTCACCGCAGTGTACATAAAAATAACTAACCTTCACCTTGGGGATAAATGTTTTAAGTTTATTATATGTCACAATAATCAAAATTAAGATATAAAACTCTGTTTGGACCATTTAGAATTTATTAAATTTAATTATACTGTTAAATAGATTTGTCTTAATTTCTTTCAAAACCTTTCTATGGTAAAGGTGGTAACCCTAACCTTAACCTAAAGTTTTTTCAGTGATAAAATTTCTGAGCGCCATAGATTGAATGGGTTAATGAATGGTACAAAACATTCTTTTAAAATGCATCCATCTCTAACTCTATAATACTAGAGTACCTGTAGGTGACAACAACCTGCCACAAGAATAAGCTATTTATTATTATTATGTAAATATTTTTCACAGCACATGCACTTACTTCTTTTGATACTTCATGGCCAGTATGTTCATGCATAGATTTGGTAATTTCTAGCCGAGATGGATTTCTCTTGGCAACAAGCTTTATCTTTGCCTGGCATCCCAATTTGAAAGAACTCAAAAATATAAAAATTCTCAACGAATTGCCAAATGTGGTCAGGGCTAATGTAGAGCACGAATGACACGGCGTCATTTGCTTCTTTATTATAGTTGCAATGAATTAGGGTTTAGGTTAGGCGCTGAGAGTTCGATTTAGGGTTCAGGTTAGGCATAGGTATAGCATAGTGATCGATTTAGGGATACATTAATCATTGCCATCGATAAAATAGTGGCATTCGTCCTCTACATTTACCGTGGTAATAATCATTGGCTTGGAGAAAGAATTATTACATGACAAGACCAACTAAATTTAAAGTTAACCTATTATTATTACTTACGCTTGTGATTTTCTTTGGCCTGTTGTCGTTGAAGACTTTGACTTGCGTTTAACTCCTTGTTTGCAACAGTGAATTATATATTCATATTTAAGGTGTTCCAAATTGGGATCTTTCATCTTCTCTGACGATCTTTTAGTGAAACACACATTGCGTTCTTTACGAAAATAATTCAATTCGTCTTCAAAAAACGCTTAGGTGTCAAAAATGCTGCCAACCTCCATTTTTATAAAAGAAAGCGCGGCAAACTTGTCGATTATTAAGCCTCTGGTTCGGATCATATTTTTTTTTCGATTACTAAGACTTTCGGGTGCGAATAGTCATTGGCGATGATGGGTACTCGGGTACCTATAGCCACTTCGATTAGAAATTAGAAGACGTTGTAGACGATATATCTTGCTTGCTTCAGTTTCAGTGACCCGTAACAGTCGTTAGTATTAGTATACATATTTTTTCATTAAGCACGATCTTTACTAAATAACTTATTTCGTTAGCCCATTTGTGTACGATCTTAGCATTTTATTCGGATAAATTTATCTTATTATGAGTAAGAGTCTAGAGTCGATATTGCCAATATTGATGAGGACATTGGAAGACGACGGTTTCCCTCTTACCCTCTTCTCTTCTTGGCTATCTAAAAAATATTTTATCCTATGCCAAAGCTAAATTCTATAATTAATTATGATAAATAATTATATAATCATTTTTTAAAATTATTTATAACACACCCACCCCTGCCAGTCACAACTCACAACCTACGAGAACAATTTTAAGTCGCGCTCCGTATAAGTTATAAGTCGCGACTAGTAGAGTAGCTGTAGACTGCAGGATTATCAATTAAACTACTAAATGAAATACTGCTGGCATAAACAAGAAGAAAATATGTGTTTGGTCATTCGCATTCACTGCTGCTACTACAACGTTTACAAACATTTCACTCATGATGATTTGTAAATTTTGTGGGAACAGAGAAGTTAGGGACTGATTATGACAACGTTTATGGACATAGATATATAATGGCAATATTTTAACAATTTTAAAACAAAAGTGTCATTTTATACCAAACATGAAAGATGGCAGTCGTGAAATTAATCATAATTAAGCCTAATGCTTGATCAAAGCAGAGCACATTTTTCATGGTCCCATGGTTGTGGTTAGGGTAAGCAACAACAAAAAGTATAGTCCCTTCAGGCCAAAAAAAGTGCCATATATTTTGTGTTGACCACGGATCATTTTTTAAAAATTAAGCCACTAGACTCCATGGAAATAAAAAATTAATAGATCAGGGACAATTTTATTTTTTAAAACTTTTGCTCACCACCCCTACCTCTCCTTATTTTTTTCTATTTTCTCGATTGATTTATTTTTTCAGCTGTAAAGCTTAGGTTCATTTGCATTTGATTGGAGTTTTTATCAATACTTGTAGTCTATCACATTGAACACAGTTTAAGAAACACTGCGATAGAGAACATTTTTTTGCTCACTGACAACTGAATCCAAACCATTTTGCATTTTAACTATTTTTTAACAACAGGTCTTGCCTAATGGAGCCATTACATTTGGCAGCCCTATTAGAACTTGGTGGCCCGACTTGTCCTACACCTACTCACTAAGTAACAATCCAAAAGTGCTAGCGCCGTTTTGGACTGATCCAAACCCTTGGCTAACGGGGAACGTGTATTATCAACTTTACCAGCAGGGTGCAGAAAACAACGGAGACTGTTCATCAAAAGAAATGCCAAAACAACAAATTGTTTTAAACAGAGCTAGCAATGAGGCAAGTGTGCTAGTGAAGGCTGTGTATGACAAAACAAAATATTTGTCAGTTCTATAGAATAATCCTGTAATATTTAATGACGAGATGTTACAAATCATTTTTAAAATAAAATTATTTGTGCCTCTGATGTTACTTATAAAAAAATCAATATTTAATTGTCAGTCTATTGTTTTAAGTGATCTAACCTAGAAAACAATTAAAGAGGTATTATGTAAAAGAAATTTAAATGGGTTAATTATGTAAATGGGTAAATGAATACAAATTACTAAGCCTCCGTGTGTAAACTTTTATTTGATTTTTAAAATTACTATTGCTTTTTTTTCATAACATGATCGGAACTGTAACAATGACAGATCATGGAACACTTTGGTCTGGAACAATTTACGGCCCGATCGGTGCTTGTAGCAACATGGGAGAACATAGAACCAGAGTCTTGGCACATGTGGCTGTGTGCAAATTATAAATATTACAAAAATGACTGGTGGTGGAAAGAGTACTATCAGGAGCAGTATAACAGATACTGTATCAATAACGTAAGTGTACAGTTTCTCCAAAATCATTTTCTTAATGGTCAGCTTTTCTCCATTCTGGCTATTTGACCAAAAAATAACCAACTATATGTTCTGCTACATACAATAATGTTAATTTCTAGGGTCTCAGCCTTAGCTAAAACCATAAATTTAGACATCTTGTCCCTCCATGAGATGTGAACAACTTTTAGGACAAGCGGCAGATGGAATTTAAGGAAGACATTTTCTCTTCACTTTTCACGTCTTCAAAAGATGCTTGGTGGAATCCTATCCTGATTGAAATTGTGTATTCTATTTATAATGATGCCATGCTTGATTTGAATTTGCAACAATTAGCACATCACTTATGGCATACCGCTTGTTATGCAACAATCTTTGGGCAGTGAGTGATGCCTCTCTCCATCTCCCTGCTGCCCTTCCTTGACTAATTTCAGTTTTTTTATCAGCCTTATTTAGAACAAATTTTTATTTTTAAAATATTTTTTGTTAAAACATGTTTTTATTTTTTTTAAAATCGTAATAGGCCTACATGCTATGTTTTTTTTTGTTTTGTTGTTTTTTTAATGTTTAAATCAAATGTCATTCTACAGCATGTGACAGAGTCAAACACGTTCCAAGCAGTGTATATCTCAGATGGCCAGACAGCCTATGCTATTGTCACATACAAGAAAGGAGACATGAAATGGCTGTCTAATCAGCGGAGATCTATCGCAGTTGGCTTTGTTTCATCTGATATTCTGAGAGACTATGGAGTGTCCTATACAGATCTTACCACTAAAATGGATAGCATTGTTTGGAATTCTGGTAAAATTTTGAGGAGTGAAAAAAAAAATCATTGAAATATTTTTCCATTGACAGAAGTTATAAATAAAGGTGATAACTGTTTACCTATTTAACTAACAAGTTACCAAAACAAGTGAATTTACAGAATCACAATTACTTTATGTTTAATGCTATTGTGTTGTGTAACCATGTCATTACATTTTTGCAACGTTAAGGTCGCTATGGTACATGGATAGAACAAGTTGGGAAGGCAGAGAACTGGGACGGTCAGTGTCTTAACTTCTATTTAGAGAACCAACAGCTCATTAACAACAGCGTTCACCGGAATTACGTTAAAGCACTCTTCGAGTGTCCATGCAGTATGGAGCGTATGGGAGCTCAGTGGCGGTCATTATCCTGGGAAGAAGATATGCAGAACAGCTACATTGTATGCTACGCCATCAGTCCTCTGGCCAAGTCTCGATTGGATAGACTCAGAGGGAATCCTCTGAATAAGGTGAAAAGCGTATAAAATTTTTGATAAAGGCATTGCCTTTTGTTATTTCCTCTGGTCGTGTTTAATAATAAAGTCCTTAAAAAAAGATTGTCTTTAATTAGCCTTTAGTATGTGTTTGATTTCAGTTCTTTGAAGAATACTTACAACTTATTAGACGATTAATTCTTTCAATATAATTATAGCATTTATTGGAATGCCTTTTAAATTTAAAAAAAAAATGTCCTTCTTTTAAAAAAAATATAAGTCTATTATAAGCTGTTTGATAGCTAGTTTATCCCTCTTGAACAGCCACTGTTTCTATTTGCTTCAGCTCAGGCTCTACTGCATTTCTTCCAGCTTTGTTGTTACAGATATACCTACCCATCCAATGATGACTGGATTTCATGGAATGCAGCTTGGCGAAACGCTCCTTATATTGGGTACAGGGATCCCCATGCTGGTCATCTGCTTCTGAATGACCCCTGGTCGCGGAGGGGTAAAGCTAGAAAGTCTAAAAAACAAGACTTCTTGCCACACAAATGGTGTTGTCAGGATAGCAGCTCCCCCTCGAGGTACTGTCATTTGTTCAATGAAGTGAGACCAGATTATGGCTGCTCACAGGATGCTGAATTTGTGTCAGGTGAGTCTATTATTTATTTCTGAAAACAAACCACCAATAACAATGTTTTTATATGAATACAAATTTAGTGTGGATTGACTTTCTCTTCATTTAATGTTTAGTTATCAAAAAAGAGAAAAGTTATCCACTATATATATGGACCAACAAAGGATAAACATGGATTGAGAATGCGAACCAACGAGGTTGAGGCTTGTATAATCTGTATTAGGATACTGCACTAGTAGCAAAAATAGAAAGGGGCAGGTTAACTGGGCAATAATTGAAGAAAATCATCAGGTCTGAGTGGAAGGAAGTGGTGAGGCAGGCCGAAGCCCTACATGGGGTGTAGTGCCACAGGGAGGGATTGATAAATTATCAAAACAAATAATCATGAAATAGTTGACTATTTAATTAATAACATATTGTCATTTATTTGGTTTAAATGAGCAAAAACATCTTTAATAAAACTTTTACAAATCTGCCATACTAACATGGTTTAATTACTTAACATTAGGCTTAAATGAATACTTTCTCTTCTATTTAATGTAGTGTTTAGTCACAGTTAAACATGTATTAAATTTTATTTTTGAAGCAATATTTTAAAAAAATATTAATTCTAGTAAATTAAAGCAAAATAACTATAGTTAATGTTTAACTTTTAAATCTTTTACTTTGGTTCATTCTGTATGCTAAATGAAATGAGTTTTTCTTAAATAAATTTTTTTACAATCAGGCGTAGCATTAGGAGACCCTCACATTTTGACAATAGATGGACACGGCTACACATTCAATGGTTTAGGGGAGTTCATCCTCCTTGCTATCCCGCAGCAAGATTTCATGTTCCAGGGTAGGACCAGCCAAGCTCTCAATAGTCAAGGGACTAAAACAGCAGCCACTGTATTCATTGCTTTTGCAGCTAAAGAGGGAAACTACTCTAGTTTTCAAGTTGAGTTAGACCTCTATAGCAGGGGTATGTAAATATTATCAAAGGCTACTTTTCATGAACAGCATTTTAATTTGTTTCGTTGACATTTATTATCCCTCAATTTTTAATATTATTTGCAGAAAAAATTATAATTGAAACGTGGAGATTTGTAGTCGAAAGAAAGTGGGGATACTTTACTTAAGTTAAGGAATATATTTAAAACGTGATATTTATCATGAAAGACTGTTTTAAAATGACAAGTAAAAGTAGCTGCATTTACCAAATCTCTTTCTTGCAGGTATGGTAGTGCTTGTCAATCGCGAAGACATTACCCGTGATTTTTATTCCATTGACTCCTATAATAAGACATTTGGTAACAACAGCATCAGCATATCTAAGGAAAACAGGGAGGATAGAATAACAGTAGCCGCATCTTTTCCTTCAGGTGGGTATCCAACAAGCTGAGAACTGCCCTTTTTTTTTTTGGAATTACACGGATTTTTTAACCCTTATTCTGACCTTCCGACAAAACCCTTAAAATTCCAAATTTCCGAACATTATAATTTTTCATCAGTCCTAAAAATCTAATGGCGACAAATATAAAACTTAAATTTAAAAAATCGGGTACGACAGGAAGTGGTGTATTTCGACGAGGCCACTTTCTTTGTTTTCATCAAAGTGAACCGCAATTTATAAATCATTCTTCATTTATAAATTGATCCGATCGTGATTCATCCTTTTACTAGGTTAAACAATGATTCAGATGTGTTGTGACTTTTTTGTTGTTAAAGCTTTTCTTAATTAAATGGATAAAAATGGTCCATTCTACAAAAGATGCTTTGCAGAGTTCGTAGAGTTTCGCAAAAGACATCATGTCTCACTGTTTTAAGCAGGTATTAATAATCTATAAGGATGCCTGACCCTACAAATCATCTGCCACCTAATACACTGTACTTTGACTCAGCGGCTAATGCTCTTCTGGATTAACAAAAGGAAAAAAGCGAGGCTAGTAAATATTGAAGACCTGAAGTCTCTCTATGTTACAGCTCTGGCATCCATGAAAGAGACCTTTCCCATATCAGACCCACTTAACCAGCATGAAAGAATTTTAAATATGAGCTTCAGAGAGAGTACTACATTCACTGACCTCCATTTTTAAAAAAAAAATTCCAATGACCTGTTCCCTTGAAATGTATGAGGAACAATTCAGAAATTACCAGATTATGTACCTACCAACAGCAGTATTCAACTCAAACAGGGTAGATCAAAAAGTGAAAATCTACAAAAGTCTTGTTACTGATCAAGTGGAATTAAACCAATTGGCTACAGCTATGGTTTTTGCGTGCTGCATTCCACACAGTAATGCAGATGCAGAAAGAATGTTTTCCATAGTAAAAAAAAAATTACAATGAAACAAGAGGAAGGATGAAAGTTGATACTCTCTCTAACATGCTTGTACCGGTAACTAAAATCAATTGCAATGGTAACCTTCAGCTAGAGAACGACCAAAAGTTATTTTTTGACTCCGGCTGAAGTCGAAACTAGGCCGAAAGTTAAAAATGCCTTCCGGTCGAAGCCGAAACCAAAAGCCTAAAGTGACTTTCGGCGGAAAGCGAAACCGAAACCAAAATATTTATATACCGGTATATATTTGAAATTCGTTCATGCATGCATTCTACATACATTGATATGGTAATATATCAATATTTACATTCTTTTTTTTAATAAAAAATTAGATCATCATGAATATTAAAAAATAAACATCTAATGAATATTTTGGCTTTACCATTTTAATTTATAAATAATTAAAATTTCTTTAATATATTTTTTAATTTTTTAAATAGTATGTTAAGAGAAAATTTGGACGGGGGGGGGGAGCGTGGCAAAAATCATGAAAAACATACCCTTGAGTGCCCTTTGCTTTTATAAATTTAATTACAATCTAGAGCATATACCTGATAATACCTACAATAATATTTTTGGCTCTAGTAGAGTCAATAGTCCCCTAAATATCATTTATTAAGGCAATAAAAATATCCTCACAATGTTTCTTGGTTATCGTAAATAGCTGGCAAGATATCCTTGTATTGATATTTGGCCTTAGTACTAACACACAAGTCTTTTCGTACGGTGACGTAATTATTTCGTTTGGCAACTAACCTCCCTCACCCTAATTAGTGGAGGATTTTTTTTTAAACCTGTTCTCTTAAAATTGTTGTTCCAACGGATATTCGCAGAAGACATAAAAATTGTCGTCAAAATCATAAAAGTAAACAGCTTTGCAATAGGCCTACTACATAATTATCATACGAACCCATGATACATGCAGAATCATGTTATTTTGTCAGTAACAATGTTTATGAGCATGATTATGATGAATTTCAAGAAATGAATAAATTGAAAAAGCCCGAGTTTCCTTCATTTTAAGGGGGAAAAAATGCAAATATGACCAATTCCTAGGATTATTCAATTTTGAATGATAATGAATATCACAAATGAAGGAATTGAATTAACCTAGGTTCCTATTTTTTATTTTTGAAAAAATTAAAACAAAAATAATGATATAAATATTACCATTCCATTAATTTCTCTTCCACAAAACTTTTTACATTTGCGTAGGCCTAATCTATATATATAATTCGCCAGAAGATGTAGGGCAAACAAGAAGACGACCACGCAGGCTATATATGGATACGCCAGAGCAAGCAAGACGCAGGCAAACCCCCCCCCCTCCCTCCATTCCCTAGCCTGCCCATCGTTGGTCTCTAGACATGCGCACTGCGGCGAAGCTACTGCCCTCCTCCTGCACCTCCCTCGCTTGCCAGCCATGCGCAGACCCCAAAAAGCCGTGGGTCCCGTATCATGAAAAAAAGGGGGGGGGGGCAAAATTAGCATTCTTAAATATGCGTAACTTGAGTTCACGTTTTTGTCAAGTAACTTTTAGTAGATGGGAAGTTCACGCATTGCTGTTGTCAATGTTTGGTGGGCTACATCTAATTGAAATGTATTTTTTTGGAAATATGGGACAAGTAAGTCATCGAACAGCAATGAGCAGTTTTAGCAAAGTATTAAGCATTTAACATACGATGACAGCAAGACGTTGAGCAATAATGAATATTGAATTGCCGGCAGACAGACAGTCTGACTTCTGGTAGATGTCCGAAAACCCCAGACACTTTTGTCCGAAACCGAAATTAAACCGAATGTTAACTTTTCAGTTTCGGCCGAAACCGAAACTAGGCCGAATTGATCAAATGGCCACTTTCGGCACCGAGGCCGAAATGCGGTCGGTCTCTACCTTCAGTTATCCAAAAAGCTGTTATACAAGTGCAAAAAGGCCACTGGTGAGCTGCTGGAAAACTGGACTCTTAGCAGCCTGTGTACATATGTAAATAAAAATGGATATTCTAATGTATATGTATATAAACATTTCCAGCAATTTTTTCTAATGTTCTTTGGACACTTCAAAGAGAATGGAGGTAACTTTATATTTTTTTATTTACTTTAAAAAAAGGCGTGTGCATTTGTTTGTAGATCTTAAAACAAAGCCCCACCCCCCTTTCCTACAGATTGGCAGGTCTGCAAAGCCATTGTGGCTGCGGTAGTGAATTATCTCATTCTGATTTAAGATTACATTTATTTATGATGACTTATAAATACCTAAGTGAAAATGCTTCTGGTCTGGTAAACTCTTCAAATACCGGTACTTTTATTTTTCAAAATGACACCAACAGTTTAGTTAAGTAAAAATATCTCTACTTTCTTTATTCAGGCCTCTCTATCAAGGTCCACGTGGGATTTAAAAACTTAGAGTTCTCTATTAATGTTCCTAAATTCTTCCAAAATCAATGCCGGGGCTTGTTGGGAAATTTCAACGGAGATCCTACCGATGATTTCGTCCTCCCAGATGGCACAAAGCTTAAATCAAACTTGAAAGAAAGAGAAATATTTGAAAAGTTTGGGCGAGAGTGTAAGTTTATCTAAATTAATTTGTTCCCAAAATTATTAAAAAAACTTTGTATCACAAGTTTTTAAAGTATTAATTTTAGCATATTTTCTAATGACAGTATAACACTTTTTGCAAAAAAATTAAGACGAAATCGATCATTTCATATAAGTTCAAAATTCTGACTCAGACAAGATTAACAATTCCAGGTTGAGAAAATTCTTAATTTTATGATTTTTAAAATGTTAAACATTATGTTTGTGTGCTGTTATAATCCAACAACCAGATTCTCTTGTCCACATTTTGATCTTAACTTGCTTGGCTTTGTAGGGGAGGTCACTACAAGCAGCACCGTGTTTACTTACCCTGAGGGTGAATCTGCCCTTGATTATCAATACCCTGACTTTGTGCCAATATTTCGTGAAGAGGTTGACCCGGCTGTACTGGCCCAGGCTAAAATAAAGTGTGGTGGGAATGCTGCATGCATGTTTGATTATATTGCAACTGGAGATGAAAAGCTTGCAAAATACACTAAGCAAAGTAACGAGAAGATATTGGATACCAGACTTCATTTAGGTAAGCTATTTCTCCACTATTGAGAATTTACTTCACTAGCTATAACGTTTGCATAGCTGGGGTCAAAACGGCTCTCACCCCCACTCCCGCCCTTAAAAATGACACTTGGCCTAAATGCAACGCTTCATGTAAATAAACAAAGTATGGCCCCTCCACATCACCCCTTCTCCTAGGCTGCTGAGCTTTTCATATTTTGTTACTTTTGCCCAAAATCTTTGTAAAACTTTGAAATAGTAATTTGAATATTTAACTCTTTCTGTGCAAATCCAAGATAGATAGTCGATTTGACTGGCTGCATTTTTGCCAATCGACGATGTATTGTTGTTTTAACTTCTGTAACTTATTTTGCTGCTTACGCCTACGGCTATCAATCCTAATTTTTATGTTCTCAAATTAACGAAAACGATCAATGATTTGTGTTGAAATTGTTGTAAACTGAGCAATGGTGACACCTATGCCAAGCACATCAGCTGATGC